TTCCAGCCACTCTCCCCCGAGCTTGTAGCAGTGGGTTGTTGTAACACAGTTCTTACACGGAACAGCTGAGCGAGCTGTTGTTGTTTAGTCTCGAGAAGAGGAGGCTGAGAGGAGACCTCATCACTCTCTACAACTACCTGAAAGGAAGTTGTAGTGAGGTGGATGCTGGCCTCTTCTCTAAAGTAACAAGTGATAGGACAAGAGGAAATGGCCTCTAGTTGCACCAGGGGAGGTTTAGGCTAGATATTAGAAAAAATTTCTTCACTGAAAGAGTGATCAGGCATTGGAACAGGCTGGGCGCCCAGGGAAGTGGTGGAGTCACCGTCCCTGGAGGTGTTCAAGAAACGCATAGATGTGGTGCTTAGGGACATGGTTTAGTGGGTTAGGTGGTCTGGGTTGACGGCTGGACTTAATGATCCTTGAGGTCTTTTCCAACCTTTATGATTCTATGATTCTAGGCTAGTTTTCATTTCCCCTGATGAAGTAGGTGTTACTGGGAAGCATCATTTGAATTACATCCTCTCCCATTCAGAAGCACTAGAAGGTACCTGTTTTACATATCTCTGTTCTTTTTGAAAATGAATAGGGGAACCTTTGGGACAGGAAGACAGGGAGAACAGTGGAACTTGAGTATGACATAAATGGTATTGAATAAGGAGTGGAGAATGTCCTGGTTTTGGCTGGGACAGAGTTAACTTTCTTCACAGAAGCTAGTGTGAGGCTGTGTTTTGGATTTGTGCTGAGGAGAAGGCTGATAACATACTAATGTTTATAGTAGTTGCCAGGATGGTCAAGGACTTTTCAGCTTCTCTGCTGTGCCAGTGTTGGCAGGTGCAGGAGAAGCTGGGAGAGAGCACAGCCCCAATTACTAGCCTAGGATTCGACCTTAGGTTTAGGATTGAGACCCAAATTGGCCAATGGTATATTTCATATCATATACATCATGCCCAGTATGTAGATGAGGATCTGTGCTGAACTGCTGTTTCTTTCAGTGTCATCTGTCTTGGCCAGCTCCAGTTTCTCAGACACTGGGGCTCTTATCTCTGTTATGGGATTGCAGTTTCGGGATTCTCCCTGCTCTGGGATTGTTAGCCAGGAATGAGCTGAGCTTTGGTCATCATCTGGTGAGCAGCACCACTGTGTATCACTCATTTGTGTATTTGTATGTATTATTAAATTGTTTTCATCTCAACCCACGAGCCTCTTTTCCCTTTACCCTTTTAATTCTCTTCCCCTCTTGCCCCCCCTGGGATTGGGGAGAGTGAGTGAGCGGCTGCGTGGTGTTCTGCTGCCAGCTGAGCAGGTTCAAACCACAACAGCGTGGCTGAGCACCTCAGACAAGATGGTGGCACCTCAGAGAAAATATGCTTAAGAAAGGGCAAACCACACTGGGTAGAGAGAGGAAGAGGGGAAAAATAAAAGAATGAGAAACAGCAGAGGAAAAACCAAGTCAAAGAAGGATGAGGAGGAGGTGGTCCATGACACATCAGCAGATGTTCACGCCGTGGCCTGTGCAGAGACCCACCACTGGAGCAGGGTAAAACCATGAGGAGGAAGGAGTGGCAGAGATGAGCTGCTGTGGACCGACCATAAACCTCCCATTCCACATTGCCCTGTGCTGCTGGTGGACAGAAGTCAGGAGTGAAGGAGTGAATTTAAGCTTGGGAGACAAGGCATGAAAGTTGCTGTTTTAATGTTTGTCTTTTTTTTCTCACTACATGAATCTACTTTAATTGGTAATAAATTAGTTTTCTCCAAGTCAAATCTGTTTTGCTTGTGACAGTGACTGTTAAGCATTCTCACTGTCTTTATTTCAGCCCACGAGCTTTCTTATCTTCCCACTGAGAAGGAACACTGAGTGAGCAGCTGAGTGGGTGTTTGGCTCTTTGCCAAGGCTAACCCACAACAATATGTGCACCACAAAGAATACAAAATTAAATAAAATTGTGTTTCATATGTAAGAACAAATAAATGGTAAGCTACCAGGTCTTTAAGCTTTACTAGGGGATTTGTGAACACCAGCATTCTTTACTGAGAAACAAACCGTATCCACAAGATTGCATGCTGGTCATCATTACATTAATTTAATGTGCTTAGTGTTCAGTTTATCCTGCTTACAAGGGCCATTATACATATGAGTTTTAATTGACTGAAGCAATATGATAATGTCAAAAAATGTATTTTTCACATTTGCAGGAAATGAGGAATATGCTTTCTGAAATAAAATTCTTGTTAGCTGAAGATCGCACAACAGATTTAAAAGCAACAAATAATCCACAAAATTATTCTAGTTATTTTCTCAGCATTTATTTGAAATATCAATACTTTCCATGATATAGTTTATACATTAAGCAGTAGGGAATTGTTTTAATTTCACATCATCCAGTATTGAAGTGGCACATTTGAAGCAGCACATTAAACCTCTGAAAGAGTCTGTACAATTCAGATAAATAAAACTCTGGATAATTAAACTAACAAAACTTCTGCAACTGTTACCAAAAGAATGCCAAGAAGCTAGGCACAGCACAGTACACACTAAGTGCAGGAAGGAGGAACACAAGAGAACCAACTGAACATACGGGAAATGTTTTTGCATATACAGCCACATGTCTTTAATTGCTCAACACAGAAAGATAACAAGTTAGTCCTCACTGAGGGTAGAATATGCACAAATGATGTTCGAAGAACACATGGTAGACAAAAATGAAGTGAGGATTGTGTTTCATTGGTTATTGTATTCCTCAGTGAATGAGTTTATAAAGGTGCTTAAGCAGCATGATTTTGTGCCAACACTTGACAAGAAACAGTTAACAAATGCCAGTTTTATTCCCCATCTTGCCCTCTTACTGGCATTTTGGTGAGCATGCTCAAAGTTCCTGAAGGGCAAATTCAGGTGGTTTTATAGTCCAAGGCTTTTACTATAGGAATCCCCATTTTATGGTTTGCAGTTTAACTCTAGATGGAAATAGGCCTTTTAACAACACTTACGAATATAACAATGAACAGAGAGCAGCAGGACACACAATACAGTGGTTCTCTTTCTGATCTACATTTACACTGTCTTCTGTGAGAACAGCAAGCCAGTTTGGTTGGAAGATATAATTCTGGTTAATCAGTGTTAGACCTGTGTATCATTAGGAAGGGAAAAATGGAATGGCAAGAACTTTTCCCTCTTTTTATAGACAATTAAGACTGCAAAGTAATACAGTGGTGATAGGCATTATCTTCCCAATACCACCTTCACTTTCTCCTACTTCACTATGAGTTACCTGCTTTGGTTGCCATCACCCTCCCAGCTTCATCTCAGTAATGGCTCTGGTTACCACCTGGCCAGCATGGCCAATGAACTAACCCACACGATGCTGGGTCAGAAGATACCATGCATCACCACCACGTAGTATGACAACATATAAACCAAAGATGCTCAGTGGGAATTGATGACTCTAACCACTGCAGTTTGCACTTGTAAGGTGTAAGAAGCAGCATTTTGAAAGCAGTGGTACAGACACAACTATCTGGGTCAGAGGTGGTGAATCAGCAACCCTAATTGGGCAATGGAACTAGAATATCGACATAATTAATGGGGAAGAAACCTGACTGGCCATGAAGCATGCCCTCATACCAGTTTTCATCAATCTGGTTAGTGAGGGTAATGATATCACCCTCTTTAAATCCCAGCTCCCCTTCATTTTCTGGCTCGAAGTCATACAGAGCTCGGCAGCATGGCTGATCCATGTGAGCACCTATGGAGAAGAAACACAAAGAAATAATGTGCTTAAAAATCTCAACAGTTACAACATCCTTTCTACCATTTTACCTACTACGGATTTCATTGTTTCTGGTATCATTCATATGCTGACAACAGTTCTTTGACAGCATCTGAATGTGGACTGCTAAACTTCATTAGAAGACAGTTATCAGCTTTTGGCAGCCTTCTGTTTTCATATGTGACTCTGCTAGTAAATGTCTGAGAATCCTAAAAGAAGCAAGCTACAGTCAAGCCCACATCTAAAAGCATGGCTATGATCAGTTTGCAATCTCATTTTTATCTGTTTACAAAAAACAAAAAATGAAGCAAAAGCCCTAATGTATTTCCAGGTTTATGGGCGGAGAGATGCTTTGTCCATTTACCTCAGGCAAGTAGTGTAAGGGGTATCTTAAAACAACAGTGAAGATGTAACTGTATCTTTGTCCTTTCTTGCAAACTTCAATGGTAGAGCTATACTGTAAGTCACTGTATATGCTCCTAATCCTCTGAATTTTAAAATGAGGTTTCGAAAGACTTTTTCTCCCCATTCCCAAAAACCACTTGATTGCAGGGCCATCACCATAGATTCAGAACAAGTTTGATATTGAATGCTTTTTTAATATGCTAGTTCATGAACATCTGACCATAAACCATTTAGGATGGCTAACTGACATTATTGTAAGTCATTAGTTAGATTAGATTTTCATACACTACATGAAATTAGTAAATATTCCTCTCATCCCCTGTCTTCTGTTCCCCAGAAGTCTCTATAGCTTCAAGCCTACTAAAAGCAAAATTGTTACCGATCAAAATATTTAAGATTTAGCAGCACTAAATACTAAGGAATCTTATATCCCTACCTGACTTTCCATAGTAGAAGTTCACACACTTCCAGTGGTCAAAATGAACCAACACATGCCACTCCACCATAATGACACTTCTAAGAATACGTATTTCAGCTTTTTCATGTATAATTCTTCATGATGAACACGTTTCAGATTCAAACTTTTTGTGTATTAATTTCAACCACTCACCAGGGCTAGAAGGCCCAAACTTGAGCTATTTTAGGACAAAAATATTCCATTTCTATAGATGTCAATAAAACAAGGTTTTCAAATACCAGATTTAATTTTTTAAGTTCTGTAGTGAAACCTTTCTTTTCTTCACATACCACTCACAGTGTATTTTGGTTTATTTGTCATGAAGACTATTTTGCTGACGTCAACAAGTCTTTAAATGTGTGTTTGGTATCCTCAGCGCTACCAGCTGCAATTTGCCAGACTTGGCAAATAAACTCTAAAGACTGTAGAAGATTGGAGCTTGGAATGAACACAAACATACATTAAAGAGTTTTCAAAGAAGAAGGCGTTTCTCTGAAACACATAAACACTTCAAAATAAAGAACACCTATTGAAGAAAAAGTTCAATACTGCTCTCTGAAGAGGAAAACATGAACACTGAAGAGAAACAGGAGCATCAGTCTGCACTGCCTTAGCACAGACATGTATTCATGACACTACAAAAAAGAAGTGGAGAAGAAAATTACTGGTGGCATGAGGAGAGCTTCAGTATGCAAGACTCAAGCCATGCACACACACAAGGAATCCCCATTGTATCCCCCTCCTTGCTAGCACAGCAAGGAGATTACTAGGAGTTTGCAAGATTATGCAAGACAATTTCCAGCTGCAGGTGCCAAATGGAGATACTGTTGCTTTCTGTATCTGGGAGAACATCAGACATCCACATCAGGATGTGATGGGAAGGAAGGAAATCCTGATTAAAGATCTAGTGAAAAAATACAGTCTTGTATGGTGGAGCTTGTTAGTAATTGTCACTGAGGTATAGAATCATAGAATCATAGAATGGTTAGGTTTGGAAAGGACCTTAAAGATCATCGAGTTCCAACCCCCCTGCCACGGGCAGGGACACCTCGCCCAAGACCAGGTTGCTCAAAGCCTCATCCAGCCTGGTCTTGAACACCTCCAGGGACGGGGCATCCACAACTTCCCTGGGCAACCTGTTCCAGTGCCTCACCACCCTCACAGTGAAAAATTTCTTCCTAATGTCTAATCTAAATCTGCCCTCTTTCAGCTTATAAGCATTACCCCTTGTCCTCTCACTACCCCCACTGATCAAGAGTGCCTCCCCATCTCTCCTGTAGGCCCCCTTTAGGTACTGGAAGGCTGCTATTAAGTTTCCTCGGAGCCTTCTCTTCTCTAGGCTGAACAACCCCAATTCTCTCAGCCTGTCCTCATAGGGGAGATGCTCCAGCCCTCTGACCAATTTTGTGGCTCTCCTCTGGACTTGCTCGAACAGGTCCATGTCTTTTTTTATGTTGGGAGCCCCACGTCTGAACACAGGACTCCAGGTGGTGTCTCAGGAGAGCAGAGTAGAGGGGGAGAATCACCTCCTTCGAACTGGAATAATTGAGGTCAGGGTCTGGACACAGGACAGCCCTCATCATAACAGTGGATAACAGACCACTACTGTGAGAAACAAATAATAAGGTGTTATTAGTATGTGATGATATGAAATAAAACACTTCTTTAAGAGATCATAATTATGCACAGTCATATAAATATTTAATCTTGCCTGTGTTGCTCCCAACTGGACAAAGAAAATAACTCAGATAGCTTTGTTTTTCTTTTTAGTCACTTTTACACATTCAGGCTTTTTGTGTTGTAATATCTGGTTTTAAAAAGCAGGATAAAGTTATGGAGGTTGAGGAGGGAGGGATGGGGAGTGTCAGGGTTCTGCATGGAAAACTTCCAGTTGTTCTTTCAGTTTTATAAATGATTATTTTGTAAATATCTGTATTTCAAGGTGAATTTAGTAAAGCAGCATCAATTTGACTTTCTAGGACTAAGGAAATTTTTGGCCCAAAGACACACTTAAGGCAGTGGATGATCCAACCCTTTTCCTGCCTAGGGAGGTGAATACTTTACCAAGAAACAATTCAAACAGTTCTCTCCAGTACTATTCTCATTCTCATTTTCCCTCACTATAGCAGAACTCATCTCCAGAAGAGATGGAACTTCTGCATTGTAGCAAAACTTCAGAGATGGCTTTTCTGCTCACATTGCTACTGCCATACCTGATGGTTTGGGTGTGGTGGCATGGGATATTCCTCCGTTGTGCTGAGTATTGTCACCAGTTGTGAAATCCAGGCTCATACGGGGTTTGGGCTGGTATTCTCTCCTGGGCTGAGATGATGCCTCTTTTATTCTGCCAAAACATGAAGTTAAATGTCAAGAGTTAGTTTCTTGTTAACAGGTGAGATGCACCAAACATCTTTACTTTCATGGCTGAAGTTCCCATCCACCAAACATCCCAATCAAACACATTTTGCCATCTGGAGTAATTTTTTTGTTTACAACATTTGTTTAAATTACCAAAAACCACCTGATGTGACTATGCCATGAGGTACCTAGCTAGGAACCTAGCATTTTGTCTGGCTTCGTTTTGTCTAACAATAACAAAGAGCTTTTAATGGAGAAAAATTTGTGATGTGATTAGCAATGCTTACAGAAGGGCTGTACAAACATCTCTGTCCCCAGTTTTAGTATGATTGAAACCTGTTATTTTGCTTCTATCCCTAGCAAGTCTTAACTATTCAGTTGGCTGACGCCAACTCTTGTCATTTTGTGATGAGACTGTAAGGGAATGTACTGACTTCAGCTGCAGACTTAGTTCAGTTGTAATTTGGAATACTTGTTTGACAAAGGCACACAACTCCAGTTTTCCTGACTCTCAAAATAAAAATATTATGCATCATTCATTTCAACTTATTCTTCTAATGCAGAAACCTAGAATTTCTGGGAAAGGGTACATTTTCACATTCCAGGGTAAAATCCAGGGAAGGGATGATGACAGAATCAGGGCAGCTTATGCAGAACAACTGCCCCAGATATTTTTGATACTGCTTAAGGAAGAATACTTGAGTCAAAACTTACGTATTTAAAGGACAATTTGATTTCTCTAACCTTCTTTAGACCTGCCCCAGACTTGCTGTTGGTATCACATCTGTTGAAAAGATCTGCTTCTAACTTAACCAGTTTTGGACCTGATAAGAATGGCTTCCTCACCATCCACAATATTATCAATATTAGTCAGTCACCAGAGACTGCTTTTATTCTTCTTTAACAAAAACAGAAGCATATTAAAAACATAAATTAACAAAGTTGTCAAAATAAACTTAAATAAAAATGCTTTGCTTTGTTTCACTCATTAACAGAAGTCACTTCTTCAAAGCCGTGAAGTTTTTAAGAAATAAATATTTAAACAAGTTCTATTACACTTAATACTTCCACGAAACAAACACCATTTTTTAGAGATTATGAACTGGACGGTGACAGTTCTAGTGACTTGCTAAAAATTACCTAAAAGCTCAGCATGAGTCATGTTTCTTAAGAAAAGAAACATCTCTAAGGAAACCATTTCAGCTTCCCAGCTGCTCTGTCATGATACTCTGGCTTGAAAACTGCAACCTTGTTTTGCTTGATGAAAAAGAGAATTTAAAAGGAAAAGCCTTTGCTCACCTTTCAGATTTTATTAATTTTATTGCAACTTACCCAATGTTTGCCAAGTTTCTCAAGTCCCAGTTCCTGGAATCATGGTATTTTAAGGAAGTTTATGCCTTCCATTAATGTGTAGAAGAAAAGTGAAAATTCTTGCAGTTGCAGTTCCTGAATAAAGTTCTGAAGCCTAGAAAAGGGCTAAAGGGCCCAGAAAGAAGACTCGAGTGCATTTTAAAATTTTTTCATGAGTTTTGTGGCTAACTCATGGGTTTTTTTAAATTTTTTGGGCAGTACTTTAAACAGGACAGTCTTAGCAGTTAAAAGACACTGTCCATGCCAAACAACAGCACAGAGAAGTTCCATTCACGTATTTTAAAAAGTACTTAGAAAACATGCAGTATGTGCTGTAGACATCGCTAAGAGTGAGGAGTAATGAGTTTACTCAGCTTAAAAGTAAAGCATTATTTATTTTCTGGTCCCTATGGTCAAAAAAAACCAACCCCCAAAACCCAGGGCCATGCATTCTTTGCCACCTGCATATCACCAGCAGGAAAAGACAAGTCGTTCAAACAGTAACAGCTCCACATCCTGCTTAATGCCTAGCATAAGCATATCACAGTACTCTAATTTGTGTCTAGTGGTGTGGACAAAGGATGATTTAGCCAGCAGACTCTTTACAATTAGGGATGTACAGTAAGTTCATGCAAAAAAATTTACTTCAGCTGATCTATAATAGCAGTCTGATGCAAAGTTCTTGAAAAGCTAAAATAATTAAGAGCTGAAAATTAAAGCCAAGATAGTGACTGTTTAGCAGAAGTTTAGAAGGGCAAAGGATGATCTGAATTGATACAGGAAAAGAAATCTGTTTCAGAGATAGGTATGTTCACTTTATGGCATTAATTTATAGAGTACAGAACAGCCCACCAGCTCCTGAGGAATTTTTATGCTTCTTTAAAGTAAGTGAATTGCAGCATTCATCTGGAAACACTGAAAATCATTCTGTTAGCTGTTTAGACAGTACTGCAGACTGCATCCAGAAACAGCCTGCTGGGCAGCCTACTTACCAAAACAAGTGCTGCTTCTAATATCAAAAAAGTTTTAAGACTTAGAACTCGATGAGGCTTACAGCTGCGTGCCCTGAAAAAAACAAATGCTGACAGACCCGGTAGTACCAGAAACTAGATCTACAGCAATGACATCAGAAATCAGCAAAGAACCATTCACAATTAAAAAGCCACCTTCACAAAGTATGCAAACATTATCTGCTTTTGGGAATTATGTCCAGGTTTTAGGAAGAGTCTTTCAGAACCACGTGGACTAGAGAAATCTTTCCTGTATGTTAAATTTCCTTGAAGAAGGATGTGTGTGGGGGAAGCTGACAAAACTCCTACAAACATTATCTCCTTCAGTTCAAGGGGGTACAATCTGTTTTGTGTTGATAGAAACAAAAATTCTAAACCAAAAATTCTAATGTCTATTAAAAAGATACTGTATCTATTCTGAGATAGCATTTACAGTTACAGAAAAGGGGATGGAATAGGTAAACTCAGTTAAGCCTTGTATAAAGTTTGATCTGATGATAAAGCTGTAAAAAAATGAATATTTAATAAGGTGGCAAATGATGGGGGTCTCACTATGTGCCTCAGGGAGATCTTCAGGTAACTATGAGAAGGTAACAATATACTCTTTCTCAATAGCAATCATTAACATCTTCTCTCAGAAAGACTACTTTGTGAATACATGCAGGAATGGTAAGGAAACCAAAGCTTAAGTCCCACTGACTTCCAATATTTATAAACTTGCTTTCAGTTAAATCACATTTAACAGCTTTACTGAGCTGAGATGCTTTCCTGAGCTCAGTCCTCATTCAGTCATACTCAGAAGTATATAGGCATCTCCAAAACATACAAACCTCAGCGTGCAATTGCCTAATGAAATGGCCTTTGTTTTCATAAACATACAATTACCAAGTCGCCAAAGATAACAGTGTTGCATTGTACTCACAGTCTTTCTGCCTCTGTAAAACAAAAAGCAACCCAACAAACTTACAAAAAGTGCATTACCTATCTTCCAGCTTGGAAGTAACTCGCTGTAGGATCTGCGTGGCCTGCTTGTGGTACTCCAGCTGGGCTTGTACAAGAGCAGAAAGCTGGCTCACTTGTTCAATCTGAGGATTGAAATTAAAACATCAGGTCTTAGGTGAGTACTAACAGCTCAGCAATAGCAAGCAAAGACCACTGTCACACTGACACTGCACAGGCAGTTTTACTTATCTCTCTATAAACATCGATTCATCTTTGTAGTTCATCAATAGTTACATATCAGTCTTTATTCTTTACCATGTCTGGTTATGACCTGATCTGGAATGGTAACTTCAACTCTTCTCTGCTGACCATCTCCATAGCTGATTTGCATGCACAGCAGCCTACAGACCTACCTCATTCAGCAAACACTATGAAAGTAAAAACGAGACTGTAATGAGAACATAATACACCTCCTGCCCTGCCTTTGAGGGGCACATACTTCTGCTGCATTCCAGCCTGTGAAGCAGACCAAAACAGAAAGATACTATGTACTCTTGGATCCAGAATATTTGTCGTGAAGGCAGATAGCATTCTACTTCATGAGGGAAAAACCATCCAGAACTCTTGCGTGGGCAATGCAATTGCTAGCAGTTTCCATAATACACAGTGCTGCAATGGTGGAATGCAGAACAGGACTGTCTGACCATGTGGGGTTGGATGTTGCTACAAGGGTTAAAACTACAAACTTGTTATACTTCTTCCATTTCAGCACAGCTATATTTAATTTCTAACATGCAATTATTTTCAGGTTTGTTATGGCCCCTCTACAGCAATCTGGTAACAAAATGAAGAATTAAATTAGGTATGTATTTAAACTTCAAATAAATCCCATCATTTACTTCAACAGAAGTATTTAAACTGTGTTTCCTTTTGTGTAAGATAGACTTCAGCCATAATGGTTTTTTTCCTCCAAAAGAGATGATTTTGTCTTCTCACTTGATTTTACAGTTTCAACATTAATTATAAATAGAAGATTAAAAAAACCTAGTAGATGCTCAATACTAAACAAGTCTGTAAGCAAAAATGCGCTTCTTAGTCAGATTTGAAAAGTGACATTAACTTCAGCTTTCTTATTTATTATTGCATCTTATTATGGCAGAGACCAGGGGCTTGTGAGTTCATTATCTCTGATTTTTACCAATTGTCTCAGCAGCCCGCACACTTAAGCAAGAGCCTTGGCTCAAACCCTAGAACCACAGCTAAGTAAAGGTCATTACTTACATTTACATAATTCTAAGAAGAAAGATATATTGGTTTGGTAAGTAACACTATGCAGTTAGGAAGCACAACCACGCTACAGAGGATTTATGTTCTTTAGTTCAGTTACGTATAAAATACCTCCAAGTTTGTCCTACTTGTGCATGCCGTATATTACTACAGCTTCTGAGCCTCTCACTGACCACCAAGGAGCAACTGCTTCCCCATTGCACAGCAGC